CCCAAGAACATTTGCATTTTTACTAAGGATTAGTTCTAAAAATGTTTTCAGTCGTTTTAAAAGCATTTTTAAACGAGTCTTTATTAGGTTAGACAGAATGTTGTGTAATTCTGTGAAAAATTTATCCAATTATTATCCACACCCCATCGCACCCTCTATGGTGTGAATAATTGAGGTTGATTGGATATAAATGAATCAGAAGTATTATTATATATATTTCTTAATTACAAAGATCCTATCGAGGGAATATACACAAATGAAATTGGTTGCAAACTTCTAATCAAAATTGTAATATGATGAACATTAAAGCGTAAATAATTATGCAAATGTGAGTTAGGTCAGTTGGTCGGAAGGATTGTGTTTGTCTTTTGCACAAAGTTTGAATTTTCCTCCTTGTCAAAACATTGTGATTTTTAATTTGCTTATAATTTTGTAAGCCGATTCTATTTGGGTATATTTTCCGTCTTTATTTGTCGTAATATAAAAAAGAGGCGAACTTTTCTAGTCCTAAGACTGGATCAGAAACACGCTCTCACGTGTCACGTTCCCCACCATGTCTCTCTATAAAAGCGTTGGAGGAGAGCACCATCACCTATTGGCAGCTGAGACGAAACCTCCCTCTCCTCCTTCCTCTCATGGCCACTGCTGCAGCCGCTGCCGCTGCTCGGCCATGTTTAATGGATCCCGAAGCAGCCGTCAAATGCAGCATCACAGTTTCGAGCAGGCAAGCCATTCATTTCTCTCACCATGTAAACCTACTTCATCCCCTTTTTTTTCCATCACATTCATACATGCGTCCTGATGCTGCGGGATGCTATTGTGGTGTTATCTTAAGTCAATGACGCACTGCCATGCGAGAAATTTAAGACGCATTAGCAGTACGTGGTTTGCTTGGGTGGCATCTCAGCGTAGATAAGCTTCTCTCGTATGTTTGACATGTCATCTAATATCCTTCTCCTTGTGTGAACAGAGGTCTCAGTTGTGTTCACTTTCCATGAATGGTTGCCAAGGAGTCTCTCACCTCCCTTTAGGCACCGTTGAAACGCGGTCGTTTCTGGCGGTTCCAACACCTTCATTGGCTCTGGACCGGCTCAGCTCCGCCATTTCAGAACTGAATTCAAACCCGCCTCCGTTTTCCTCCGGAATTATACGTCTCCAGGTAAGCCATGTTAAAAATGCTCAATGCCATTCAAACTCAATTCTTACTTGCTCCTGTTCTGTGAGATCTTCTCTTATCTGTTATTGCCTAGTAGGTCAAAAAAGGTTTGTTTTCAGAGCAATGGGCTTGTGCCACGTGGTTGGGTGGCATTGGACAGCATGGGCTTTTACATCCCTGTTTCCTTATCCTGCACTGCGTAGCACATGATGAAATTAAAAAGGAAATTTCTCCTAACATTTGGTGATAAGCATACATGCAATTAGAACGCTAAGGTGACAATATCTAAAGCCTATCACGTGCCACTATGTGCTTTACCTTTCTTATCCGATATCGCGTAATAGGCTTGGGATACCGGCACCTTAATTAGACTCCTAGTTGCATGTAAATCTATAATCATTAAAAGTCCATTTATGTTAATTATTGCTAACTTATGTACTAGTTTGCACAAGGGCTAGGGAGTGCTAATACAAAGTAGCATTGTGCTTGAAGGTGCCAATCCAGCAGCAAATTGAAGCAGTCGTACGCCCAAGACCAATTCCTTCCACGCTGCTTCTTTTCCGGTAGAGGCCAAACCAGCAACTCTTCTAATCTTTACATCGATAGCACCAATGGGAATGACCAGCAAAAATCGAAGAACAATTTGGTCAGCGTTGCCGGCGTGGGGTCTGCAGTTTTCTTTCAGGATCTGCATCCCTTCTCGTACAGGCATTGGAAGTCCTTAAAGAGGTAAAACAACAAAACATATTGCAACAAGTTCAATGTCATTTCCATTTATATACATATTTATAGTTACACTTCCAACTGTAGCTGTAGCGAAATCCATACGTACAAAATATTGGTAACATATCGATAACATATCAATGGTTATATCCGTATCGTTAATATATACAACATATCAATAGTTGATATCTGAAGGTATCAACCATAGTTACAGTTGACCGTGATCCCCCTTATGGAGGCTGATTTTGTAAGAACTACGCTTTTTTTTCTTTCGAAATCCGTTATATAAACTCAAGTCTAGTCTAATTGTCTCGTCTCGTGACTGAAGGTTCCTCTCTACAGAATGTCCGCTTATTCGCGCTTATGGGGCAATCCGTTTCGATGCAAGAGCCGACATATCCTCCGAATGGGAGGCATTTGGTTACTTTTATTTTATGGTTCCTCAGGTAGAATGATTATTTGCTTTCGTGCAGTTGTTTCGAGCCATAAATCGTGTTTGAATTCTCGTAAGTATTTATACCATCTGCTGCTAGATACTGAATGACAGGTTGAGTTTGATGAGCTTGAAGAAGGTTCAATGCTAGCAACAACCATTGCTTGGGACAGCGCTCTTTCGTGGACTTTGGGAGATGCAGTTGATGCACTTAAAGCTACCTTGCACCAGGTTCAGATATTTGGATTGAGTTAAATCTGCTTCGTTTAGTATTTATCGAAGGTATTCATGTTTCATGTGGGTATAAATTCTTGTGATTATGCAGATATCTTCGGTTGTTTTATAGCTTCAAAGACATGTTCCTTCGACACTAATGTTAAGGAACAATAACGTCCCGTGCAAGACGTATTAGGATCTTGCTGTTAATAGAGCTTTACAGAAAATAAGAAGCGACTCAGCACTTATTAAGGTACTGGACGCAGATGGTAGTATTGCATAGCTGCAGGAAAGAAGCAAAGGTGTGTCTCAATGCTGTTAATCGAGCTTTTCGGTTTGTCAAGCTTGTTTTCAGTATTGAGACGCACCTTTGCTTCATATTTCTCTCTCCCTCCCTCATTAACGAATCATCTTGTGTTGGGAATTCAGGTGGTACTCGCGCGTAGCAGCAGAGTAATAACAGCTACCAATATCGATCCCATAGCATGGTTGGCGTGCTTACAGGGAATTTTTCATCTTCAAGCTATTATCCGGTCAATTTTTCTCCATATAATTCAGTTAACAAAGTTATTATTATTACATCTGAGCTACACTTCTTCAGGTTGAAGGTGAAAATGCTTATCAGTTTTGTCTTCAGCCGCCTAATGCACCGGCATTTATTGGAAGCACGGTAATTGTCTCGAAAAGTATAAATTTCATTCACTACAACATCTATTATCTTCTATGATCATTGTGAAAGTTGTTTGAGTTTTTATTTTGATGGTCCTTGTAAATAGCCAGAGCAACTGTTTCACAGAAAATGGCTTGGCATTACCAGCGAGGCTCTGGCTGGAACCCGAGCCAGAGGTGAATCGATGCCTGAAGATCTTCAAATAGAACTTGAATTACTTTCCAGGTTTAACTCGACCCTTCGTAATCATTTTGTGATGTTATACTTCATTCCGCTGCTACAAATAGTCTTGCAAGCATCCAACCTCAGCGTCTAAGCGAGCATGGAATCCATGGGAATTTCTCTTACACCCATAATTTTAATTTCAACTAGTAAAAGCCAACAACATTCGTTTTGCAGTCCAAAAGACCACCTTGAGTTTACCATTGTACAAGAAAGCATACAAAGAAAATTAGAGGCAAGTTTACTATTGGGTATTTCTATGTCTAAAATTTTGTTGTTGATCTTGTTTAGTGGGGAATAAATCAGTGAAAATGCTGAAATCTATCAACTGAAAATAAAAATCGCGGTACTTTCTTGTTTTGCAGAACGTATGTGACAGTGTCCAAGTTGAACCAAGGAAAGCAATCCGTAAATTCCCTCGAGTCCAACATTTATATGCCAAATTGGCTGGCAGGTTAAGAAGTGAAGATTATGAGGTAACTACATTGAATTGTTCTACTTATGTTCTGCAACTCACTAGCTTTATTTCTGAAGGATATGTTCAATTTCATGCTGTAGTCCTTGTCGAATTGAAGTTTCCAGGCTATCCGGCTTCTTTTCAGTTTGACATATTGTCTTCTCTTCACCCAAGTCCAGCAGTTTGTGGATTTCCAACAGAGGAGGCACGGGTTTTAATTGCGGAAACAGGTTCATCTTACTACTACTTTGTTTTTGCTGTCTATGCGCTCATAATCCTTTGGCTCTATACACTTGATTCATCCAGCTGTTTTGGTCCAAATAGAACATTTTCCTGAAGACAGATTCTTTCTATTCACAAAATGCTTTCAGAAGTATTCGACCGAGGGATGTATGCTGGGCCGGTTGGTTGGTTTGGTGGAGGCGAGAGTGAGTTTGCCGTTGGCATTAGGTCAGCATTAGTCAAAAAGGTAAACCAAGTGTATTCTTTTGCTTCTACTCTTTTACATAGGCATGTCTTCACTAGCACGTCGAGCTCGTAGCACTGACCCTTCTGGATTCTACGGTCGGCGCGATGATCTATGCTGGAACCGGGGTTGTGGAAGGAAGTAATGCATCGTTAGAATGGGATGAACTCGAACTCAAGATTTCTCAGGTTTGTAAGCATTCAAATTTGCATCGTTGTGTATCAATAAGCATTGAGCATGAGACTATATGCTTCAATAAACTTTTACATGTTTTGATCAATGCTGCAGTTCACCAAGTTGATTAAACTTGAAGTGCCTCTAGAGATTAAAAGCTGATATACCGCAAGGGCTGTCAACCGAAAAGGTCAGTGCAGTTCCGAAGTTTTTAGTTGGGATTCTTGATGGCGATATTTTTCTTATTTGATGCTTCTTTGGATGATTTCCCCAATGACAAACGTAAAACAGATTTGATTAGTAAACATAAAGTTGAAAATCAAATAACCTTTGGAGTCGGGTCTTCTTTTCGCACTATTATGGATACAAAAGTAATGGAAAATTCGGACAATTGTCAACTGTTCCTATCGGAAATAGGATTTCACCACAAATGAGACGGTAAATTGCAGAATATATCACTGTACCTCGATTAGAAAGAACAGATTAAATCAACTGCAATCAGAAATTTATCCATTGCAAAATTTACATTTCTGTGTATACACCTCATAGTTACCTTCACAAATCTATCATATATTTTTCTCTTCCACCCCCAGCCCTCGCAAGAACACGATAAGAGGACAGTGTTTTCTCTATTTACTCTTCACTGTCTACCGCTACAAAAACATCTGGGTTTTCAACAGGGTTCAGTTTGAGATTCATACATTTATATGCATATTTGTTATGTTTGTTCAACATATACTCTAGCATGGCTTCCCTTTAATGCATTTTAGAGGACCTGCAAAGCGCGTGAGCCTAGTCACAAATGTCCCAGGCTTTGCCTTGATCATATCCGCCTTTGGGAGATTCCTGATTGGGCTTCCGGATTCAACAAAGAATGCTCCATTCATCATAAGATCGTTCTCTGATCTCCAATTCCATGATTTCCACTCATTCTCGGCTCCACTTGTCCTCTTCGTCACCTAGATAACAATATGATTAGGATCGACAATTTGTTTTCAGGGAACAAGTAGTGCTATTTGTTCATAGTAGTATATGTACCTCTTTACTGGCATTATTGGACGGGGCAATGAACCGGTTGCCCTGGCTAATTATGGTAGGATGTTGGCTTCCACCAATAGCGTACATAATCCAATGCGTGTAGTCATTGTTTACAACATGGAAAAACCCCCATCGGCACCTTGGCATACGCTGAATTAACCCCTGACCGAAATGGTTGAAAGCCAGAGTTATCTGCATCACTTCATCCTGAGAGTTGCTATCACTTGAACCAAATAACATCACCTACATCATGAATCAAAACGACACATTAGTTCGTAAAAAGCATTTTTTTTCACAAAGGGTTGGTCTCGATTTGTATGTAATAGATGGATTTTTACATCATTATGATTGGTGAAGTGACAGTTGGATATGGTGATGGCTGTAGACCCCTGGATGGCATCAACGAGTCCATCTGCGCAATTTGACCCGGAGACATGGTCTATCCAAACATTTGAGGCTCCATACATTGATATACCGTCACCATCACTGCGTGTGCGTTGTCCATAGTGATTCACCGAGTCCCTAATCATGCCACCATTTCCTGGCTTGGTATCATGAATGTGGAGATTATGGATGATCACATTCTTCACAAACTGTAGTGTAATTTGTGCACCATCCTCAATGTGCACATTTGCACCTCGTGCGTCAATTGTCTTGTCACTCGTCACCATAAGCTCTTCTCTTAGCTTTATTCTCATGTCTCGAGCGAATATGATCCAAAGTGGCCCAGTTTGTATCACAGCGTGGCGTAGTGTCCCTGGTTTTGGGTTCACCATGTCATTGTCAGAGTTATCAGTCACCACATAGATTTTTCCAGCCTTGCCTCCTGTCGTCTTGTGCCCAAATCCTTTGGCGCAATCAGCGAGCTTCTTGCGATTTGTTTCCCAGTTTGGGTCACATCTCCAGCAACGATCAATAGGGTTTGTAGCCAGGCATGGACCCTTGTACTTCTGTTTCAAGTTCCTTCTCGTTTTATTCGCGGCATCAAACGTGCTGCTTCCATTGAATAAAAGCTTTGTAAATGAACAATTTCAAAACCGAAAAATCAAAGTTCTTTACAAATTAAAGTACACGATGAAACATTCAACATTGGTGGTGGTTAAAAATGTTGGTTGCTTGTGTGACAAGGAACTTACTCGTGGACTTCCTTGTTGAAACTTTCAGTGACTTGTGCAGGATTTTTATTGTAGGCTTCGTTGGCGGCTTGCTTCGCTTCTTTTGCTCGACCTTGCCAGTGCGCGTCGAAATCCGCAATGTTGGCCCTCACCGTTGCCGGAATTGTGATTGTAATAATAAAAATACATAAAATAAACACATTTAGCGTGTAATTAGCTTCCATTGCTCAGTTATTCACCTTTATTTCCTCACCTTATCATTTGTTCAATTTTGTTTTAGAGAATCTTTTTTTTTTCCTATATTACGGGTGTGAAACCAGACCTACCAGACTGCTAGGGTTCGAAGTAACGGCTTTAATTTTCAGGGCAGGGTAGGGCAAGTTTCCATGGCTAATTAGTTTTCTTGGAAGTGAATTAATTTAAAGTTTCAGAATTGCAGTGGGAGATGGGTTATATATGCAGAGCTAGATTAACTAAATGAAGCGAAGAAATGCGAATGAGAAGTGGGGAGGGAAGAGAGGGGAGCCCCTCTCCCCTTTCAACGGTCGAAATTCCTATCTGCCTTCTAATTTCTTATGCTTATTGGATGAGCTTCGGTTATTTTCTTTTCTTTTTCTTTCCCTTCTAATTTTATACAATTTCTCTTGACCACTCCTCGAGAGTGATACTAATAGCCAACATCCAAAAAAGAAAAATGGTAGAAAAGGATAAAACCTTCATAAACGTTGTCGATTCCATTTCTTTTAATTATCAGATTAACTTGTATATTGTCTATAATGCTATGAAAAAATGTGGAAGAAATGATTCGATTGAACACTTGAATGTGGTAGCTATATTTTTTATTTATTTATGGAAAACAATAATTTTAATGAAAACCAGAATTTGATACTTAATATACATTTGTGGAAGAAAGAAAGAGAAAGGTATGCTTAATTAATTATTTTTAGAGTAAACTTGATATAAGTCTAATAGTGAATCATTTTTGGGTTTAGTACACTTTGTTGTATTAAGTTCACCCGCTGATTATCCGCATTAGCTTATTTTTATTATCTTTTTATTAGATTGTGATATATATCCCTTTTATTTATAGATTATTTTTTATTTAATTTTGAGATTAATATAATAAATAAATTTTGTTTCTCCTTATTTCTGCTCTTTATATGTATCTCAAATTTTCTTCTACCTCATCACAAGTTAATTGTGTTAACTAATCAATATTGTAAGTACTATATATATATATATGTATCATATATGATGACATATAAATTTTGTTTAACTATTTTTAATTGAAAGTGATTAGATTTTCACATTTAAATATTTGAATTAAAATTTTGAGTATTCTTAAAAAAAATTAAAATTTTGAGTAAAGATGCATAAATCAAGAAATTTAATTAAAATTGAAAATTAGAATTGGACTAAATTTAATAACAACTCAAAGTTTTGGACCTGGATCAAAGTACTATTTTTTAAGAGAATTTTCATGAAAATGCCTTGGACTAAGTTTATCTTAATAAAAAACTATGCTATAACTTTATTTAATGAAAAAGACTTAATTTTTAGTGAAAAGCTCTTAAATTATAATAAAAAGGACAAAAAACTTAAATCTTAATGAAAAAGACATAATTTTAATATTAAAAAAAAACTGACGCACGGACCTATGCGCCCCTCTCACACAAACGGTTTATAAAACTTACTACACTGTTTATGAAATTTAATGGTACTATATTATTTATGAAAATTAACGGTACTACATTGTTTATGAAACTTAATGGTACGCCAATGTTTATGAAACTTAACGATACTATTCTATTTATGAAACTTAACGATAGATGCTTGTCCTAGATTTTCAAGTTCTTTCACCATAATGCAATAAAAAGATTTAAAAAAAAAAACATAATAGAGATCAACGTCCACGCTGTTAAACTCAAGCATGGCTAATAGCTCAATACCATTACTAGAAAAATTGGTGATGAGTCCAACGATGTTGTCAATGATGTTGCCCCAACCCTACCCCCAACCATCCTAACCCACACCTGATCGACTCCCTTCTAACCATACCACCCCATATCTGGTTTTGAATTGAACGAAACCTACTTTAATTTGAAATTTTAATTTTAGAGTAATAAAATATGCTTGGATTATATCAAAGGGTTATGCAACAGTAGGATTGGTTGGGTGCTCCTTGCACGCGCCCTTAGTTAGGTTTTTTTTTCTTTCTCTTGTCTTTATCATTAAAAAAGTTAGATGATGGTTTTTTATTAAAATTCAAAAATTTGACACCCTTTTTATTAATTTTCTTTTATTTTTTATTTTTTATATTTTATAATTCTAAGTGATACATCTAATCCTCAAACTTGTGTATCAAAGTAAAACACATATTATAACCAAGGAAGAAAATATCGATAATATCGGCAAAATATCGCCGATATTATCGTTTTTTTAGAGATCCGAAATTTTTTTAACTATCCAAATGATTTTCGTCAAAATATCGCAATATTATCGATAATATCGCGATATTTTCAATATTTTTGATAATATCGCAACATAATACTAAAATATACTTAAATATGTTGAGAGAACTCAACACATACTTCACTTGATCATAGCCCAAAGGCCGAACAAGCTTGGATTTTCTCAGCAGGGGGATGTGGATTTTATAGGAAAATTTGCTTGCTCACTGCCCTCACATGGGCGATGTGGGACTCCCCAATGGGAGAGAAAATCAGAATTTTCGGTCGAAAATTTACACCCACTTTAAACAGCCATAACTTTGTCAAAACTCAACTAAATCAAGCAAGAAAAAAACGAAAGTTGTAGCCCTCGAAGAGACGAAGAGAATGGTACCTCACACGACGTCTGAATCGTCGTGGTTTGGCCGGCAAATTCCTCGAAAGTCACTGAGGTCGCCGGAAATTGGGTAAGATTCAAATGAGTATAACTTTTTCAATACTCAACGAAATTGAGTGAAACAAAAAGGAAAGTTGTAATACTCGACGAGACGAAGAGATTGATACCTTGAAAGCCGGCCAACTCGCCGTGGTTTGGCCGGAAATTGTCTCGAAAGCCACTGAGGTCGCCGGAAACTGGGTAAGATTCAAATGAGTATAACTTTTTCAATAAGCAACGAAATTGAGTGAAACAAAAAGGAAAGTTGTAGCCCTCGAAGAGACGAAGAAAATGGTACCTCAAAAAACGTCTGACTCGTTGTGGTTTGGCCGGAAATTGCCTCTAAAGCCACTGAGGTCGCCGGAAACTGGGTAAGATTCAAATGAGTATAACTTTTTCAATACTCAACGAAATTGAGTGAAACAAAAAGGAAAGTTGTACTACTCGACGAGACGAAGAGATTGATACCTTGCACGCTGGCCAAAATTCAATTCTTTTACTTTATATAAACTTGAAAAAACATAATCGGCATCCAAATTAAAGTTTAGTCTTATTCAATGTATTGATTTTCAATCGTTAATTGATATACTATAATTTGGAACTTCAACGCCTAGACGCATGCTTATGTGTAAGAAATTTAAAGTGTCAAATTCGGCACATTATTCTTCATCATTTTATTCACTTCCCTTTTTTTTTTTTTAATATCCTAAATAAAACCTCCAAATATTGTACTAATTAATTATATATAAATGATTATGGTGTGTTTAAACTTCTTTAATTAATTACTACATATTTTCTACACTCACAATGTTTGCCAGCTCGCTATATAATCAACTTAAATCAGTTAAATCCATCATGCAATGCATTTCCTTCCAATTTTTTGTGATAAACTAATAGATAATTGACTAAATAAACATCCTACAAAGTTTCATTAAAAATTTCCAAGTTTTTCTTACAATTTCCGTGGTTTCCTTGTAATTTTTATCGATATCGATATTATCCCGATATTTCCATCGATATTTCCGTGTTTTCGGACTACCGATATTTCCGATATTACCGATATTTTCTTCCTTGATTATAACCAACTTAACTAGCGAGCCTAGGACCATGCCTGAAGCCTACAGGTACGATTAACTTTGGTTTAATAAAAATTAAAATTTATTTTTCCAGATTAGATACGTGTAGACAGATCTGAAAATTCTTAGATCTATCTAATATTCAAATTATAGACCACCGCCGCAAAGACAGAAAGAGATCTGGGTGGGAGTTTGGACGCAAGGAAAGCAAGGAACAAGCTACCTCCCGAAACTTGACATGCCGTCCAACCCAAAACACGCATCATCGATCCATGCAGAAATATTAAGTTTGGAATAACCAAGATCGAATGTCTGCCTCCATCTTCATTTCCCACAAGGAAAAACTCTAACTCGTATTCTTCCTCTATATAATCATTGTGCTATTTCCATATCTATATACAAAGCATTACACTGATCATTTTAATTAAGACACAAAGCAAGCTCTTAATTAAGTTGTTGTTATAAGTGCAGTTTGTATTAGTTGATCGTTGATATGGCAAATATCAGAGGATCAATGAGCGCTTTGGAAGAGAGATTACGGCCATCGACACCCACACGCATGCGCGAAAAGATTGTTCCTTCATCAGACTGGACGGACGACTCCAATTGTCATTACCTTCTCGTTGATCTTCCAGGTACTGCAATATTACAGCATCTAATAGTTTTCTTAATGTTGTATCCCGATCAAATGCGCACTCTAGTAGTAGTTATTAGGTTTTAATTTGTTCGCACTTTCGACATCATCATCACTTTATGGTTTTGTCAAGTTCTAGGTGTTGGCAACACAACTCGATTCGGATGTCTAGGTGGACATTCCAGATCGAGGTGTGTCAGTAATTGGTATCAGAGCATTTCATTTCGTTAAGAACAAATGCATGTGTTCATGCTCTAATAATTGTATTCGAAGTGCATAAAATAGCCACTACTAACAAGTAGTCACGTTAGTCACATAATTATAGGAAATAACAAATATGCATTCGCATAAATTTATGGTGCTTAATTATATCACCTTGTCTTAGATTTTAAAAAGGAGGAGGTGAGGGTTGAGGTGAATATCTCAACCGGCCATATAACAATCAGCGGAAAAAGGCAAGTGAACGAAAGGATATCCCAGTATTTTGAGCAGATTATCACCCTTCCGCAACACTCAGATGTCGATAAGATCACCGGAAAATTTGACGGTGAGATTCTATATGTCACCGTACCAAAGGTGGCAGCAGCGGTTGAAGAACAGAAGAAAGAACCAGAAATAGAGAATGAAAATGTCCAAGGCAGCATCGCTGCTGCCACGGAACCTCCTCAAGTAGGGAAGAATGAAACTGTGGAAGGCTTAAGACCCAAAGATGAAGGAGTGCACTCAAAGAAAGCCGATGGCACAAAGTATGGAGAGATTAAAAAATTATTAGGAAATGAACACATATTTTTTTCTCCAGAAAATATAAAGAAATGGGAGGAGAAAGGTGGGAATATCGTAAGGAATGCAATGGAGATGTTGAGCAAAAACAAAGGGCTAGTTGTAACTGCTGTGGTTGCATTTTCATTAGGGATGCTAGTTAATCGTAGGTGAATAAGCTGGAGAATGAGATGATTAAGGCTAATTATAATTCTTAATTAAGTTGCTTATACTTTCTCTATATCTCTTGTTTATAATCATAGCGAATGGTCGCTGATATTAAATGTACAGAGTAAGAACTTCAACGATTAAGATGTAAATTGGTTTTACTATGTTCTTTTACTCTTGAGCTTTACTAACATATTTTGTTCGGAATTCAAGGGTGTGTTTGTTTGCACTCACTATCATTCATTAAACTGGACTAGACTAAGTGGGAGTCTAGTCTTGTGTTTGATACAAATTGGGACAAGTTTTAATGACACTCGCCCCGACTAAACAGGACTAAGTAGTTCACTAGGGGGTCTTAACGAGACCCCCCGAAATCGACCGGACTGCTAAGCCCAACTCCTCCTGCTTCGTTCCTCCTCGCTTCGCCCTCCCATCAACTTGTTACTCACAAGATGTGGAACCCAGGTCCCATATACAAACTCTGCCCTGCTTCGCCCCTATCATCTACCATTTTCAAACCCAAATCCCACAAAATTGGAAACAAAAGGCAAAAATTTCTGCAATATTTCCATTTTCAAAACTAGATCCAAATCCAAAATTCAGAACAAAAAAGCGAAAAAAAAAAAACAAAATCACTGTGCGTCTGAAACGCTCAGCAACTCTGCTCACACTCCACCTAGTCCAGACTCCCTGATCGCAGACCTTTGCTATTGACGCTGGAGAAGCAGACCCATGAATACCTAGATGACCCAGACTCTGAATGGGTTCTGATTTGCCAATTGGGTCCCAGAAAAATTAGGAAGAAAAGAGAGAGATGAGCATAGAGAAATAGGAAGAAAAAGATGGAGATGAAGAGAGAGAGAGGGGCGAAGAAGAAAGAGGAAGAAACAGAGGGAGAGGGACGGAGCAAACTTGGAAAGAAATGGGGAGATTAGCGGAAAAGAATCAGGAATGGGGATAGGTGGTTTCTAGAATGAAAAAAAAAAGATAGTTATAGTAATAAAATATTACTAAATATGTATTAAATAATATAAAATATTAATAAAATAGGAATTAAAAATATATTTGTTATTATCCAGCTTTTTAGTCCAACACTGCACCAAACACTTCACTAATTTAGTCTAGCTTAGTCTAATCTAAGCCAGTCCAACTTAGTCCCTAAAGCTAATCCAGTCCGAGTTAGTCCGGTGCAACAAACGCACCCCAAAAGTTTTGATTTCGCACCTGTTAAATGTAACCGGGCGTTTAATATAAGGGGCAATGGTCAATGCCCTTTGTCGTGAAACTTTTATGAGCGTGACGGTCATACTTTCCATAATGTTAATCCGCTTCTTCGATCGGTTTTAAGTTGGATGCAAAATATCCTTGTGGATCTAAGTAGGCAGACAGGAAAGGAATGCAGCAGGATCCGATTCGTTGAGCAGGCAGCAAAAGTCACAAAGATGGAGTATGATTCTCTCTTCTTCTATTCTTATCCGTTTTCCTCCCCTCCTTTCACACTTTGTTTTTTGCCTTTTTGTTCGTATAAAAATATCAATATAAGATATTGACGTAATTTAATCATAACCGTTCAAGTAGAAAGTGAGGGAATGAGAAAGAGATTAGAATGGAAGATAATCCTCTTTCCACAAAGATGAGCACATCACCTTGATGCGTGATTGAGAAGCTTCTTTGAGATTCGTGCCCAAAAGTTCTTGTCACTCATATTATTCTAGGGATATATTTGTTCACCACTTTCAATTGATAATAATGTTTACCACTCTATTTATTATTGTTAGATAAGTCTAAATTCTAGTAGATAGCCACAAATCTCAATATTCAAACGCATCCAATAAAGATAAATAGTGTGGTGAGCATTACTACTACTTGAAAATGGTGAACAAAAATACAATCTATTATCACCCTAAATGCCTAAAAATCATATCTAAAACTTGGTTACAATCTTTTAACCAAGAGTAAAATTGGCTGGATATTAAAGAAACAACAAGACATATATTAATTTTAATCACAGAAGTTTTATTTTCTTTTATTAAAGAGCGTTTGTTTTTAACATTTGAGGAAATTAAATGAGCAAAGTTCTCAAGTCAATACATTCTAATGGAGCTTGTTTGGGTCCTTATCATGTTTACTTGTATGCAAATTACAATTTGACACATGTACAAAACTTATTAAATTTATACAAAAAATTCATGTCAAACTGTGATTTGTTTGCAACTAGAAATAACTATTATTGTATAAAATAGTAAAGTATTTTTCTATATTTCAATTTCAGTAAACTAAAATTTCAGGAACCATGTTCGCTGCTGAAAGAACAACATTTGTTATTGAAATGCAATCACAAATGGACAAGTGTCCAATTATATTTTTCAATTTTAATTATTTAGACACGTGACTATTTGCAATTGACCTTTTTAGTAGCACTTGTTGCTCTTCTTCGAACAACGAAGCATGGTTTTTGAAATTTTATTTGGAAGTAAGCACTTTTCAAAATGTTCCTGCTTTTCCACTAGAAGGATACTTTGGCTTTGGAATTGGAATCATGTGCCTTATCCACACTACTACTACCATGCATGGCATATATCCACCAATGACCATGAGACCACACACCACCCAGGTTGATATGCTCAATTCGATACAACTGTTAATATTGAATTCATTACACTGTTATGTAGTATTATTAATTTATATCATTGTCGTTTATTGTTATGCTAGAAACATCGGTTTTATGTTTTCCTTTTTTCCATGTGGTGATCCCAAATTCGTTTGGACTGAATGTATTTTTAATTGGTATGCAAGGCTCGTCTTAAACAAAAGCATGCATAAAAAAAAATACATTATAAAAATAGGGGAAAAAACCAAAGAAAATAAAGAGGGGGATGTAGAGTGAGAATGGAATCTAATCTCTCCCCCACCCCAACCCAACCAAAAAAACATTCGCTTCTCTCCATTACCATTTACCTCTTAACAATGGCACATTCAAGATTCGAATTTTGAGTGGTCTCAAGGTTAAAGGTCTAAAATTTTTAGATAAAAATAAAGTGCAAAGAGGGCAAAAAAAATTTCCGTTTATTTATTGAGGCATTTCATCAAATACTTGATGAGTGATATTTAAAGAATTGTCTAGTGTTTTCCACGCAACATGTCAAGATACTAGCATGTATTACATCAATCACTTGATAGGTACATAAAAATTCGTATAAAACGTTCGGAGAGTCTTTAAAAGATCTTTACATCTGTATCTTCTGAACTACGAATAGTCCTGAGACCACCTAAATCCTAGTGTGCATTTGCCTCTGCCCCTCAACCAAATCTACTAACAAGGCCTGCAACGGATATCCGGCTTTCACAAGCGAATACGGTCGACCCGGATGAGCTTGATGAGGAATTCGACACTGTACCAAGCTAGGGTTTGTAGCCAGGCATGGACCCTTGTACTTCTGTTTCAAGTTCCTTCTCGTTTTATTCGCGGCATCAAACGTGCTGCTTCCATTGAATAAAAGCTTTGTAAATGAACAATTTCAAAACCGAAAAATCAAAGTTCTTTACAAATTAAAGTACACGATGAAACATTCAACATTGGTGGTGGTTAAAAATGTTGGTTGCTTGTGTGACAAGGAACTTACTCGTGGACTTCCTTGTTGAAACTTTCAGTGACTTGTGCAGGATTTTTATTGTAGGCTTCGTTGGCGGCTTGCTTCGCTTCTTTTGCTCGACCTTGCCAGTGCGCGTCGAAATCCGCAATGTTGGCCCTCACCGTTGCCGGAATTGTGATTGTAATAATAAAAATACATAAAATAAACACATTTAGCTTGTAATTAGCTTCCATTGCTCAGTTATTCACCTTTATTTCCTCACCTTATCATTTGTTCAATTTTGTTTTAGAGAATCTTTTTTTTTTTCCTATATTACGGGTGTGAAACCAGACCTACCAGACTGCTAGGGTTCGAAGTAACGGCTTTAATTTTCAGGGCAGGGTAGGGCAAGTTTCCATGGCTAATTAGTTTTCTTGGAAGTGAATTAATTTAAAGTTTCAGAATTGCAGTGGGAGATGGGTTATATATGCAGAGCTAGATTAACTAAATGAAGCGAAGAAATGCGAATGAGAAGTGGGGAGGGAAGAGAGGGGAGCCCCTCTCCCCTTTCAACGGTCGAAATTCCTATCTGCCTTCTAATTTCTTATGCTTATTGGATGAGCTTCGGTTATTTTCTTTTCTTTTTCTTTCCCTTCTAATTTTATACAATTTCTCTTGACCACTCCTCGAGAGTGATACTAATAGCCAACATCCAAAAAAGAAAAATGGTAGAAAAGGATAAAACCTTCATAAACGTTGTCGATTCCATTTCTTTTAATTATCAGATTAACTTGTATATTGTCTATAATGCTACGAAAAAATGTGGAGGAAATGATTCGATTGAACACTTGAATGTGGTAGCTATATTTTTTTTTTTTTATGGAAAACAATAATTTTAATGAAAACCAGAATTTGATACTTAATATACATTTGTGGAAGTAAGAAAGAGAAAGGTATGCTTAATTGATTATTTTTAGAGTAAACTTGATATAAGTCTAATAGTGAATCATTTTTGGGTTTAGTACACTTTGTTGTATTACGTCCACCCACTGATTATCCTCATTAGCTTATTTTTATTATCTTTTTATTAGATTGTGATATATATCCCTTTATTCATAGATTATTTTTATTTAATTTTGAGATTAATATAATAAATAAATTTTGTTTCTCCTTATTCCTGCTCTTTATATGTATCTCAATTTTTCTTCTACCTCATCACAAGTTAATTGTGTTAACTAATCAATATTGTAAGTACTATATATATATATTTATATATGATGACATATAAATTTTGTTTAACTATTTTTAATTGAAAGTGATTAGATTTTCACATTTAAATATTTAAATTAAAATTTTGAGTATTCTTAAAAAAAATTAAAATTTTGAGTAAAGATGCATAAATCAAGAAATTTAATTAAAATTGAAAATTAGAATTGGACTAAATTTAATAACAACTCAAAGTTTTGGACCTGGATCAAAGTACTATTTTTTTAAGAGAATTTTCATGAAAATGGTTTGGACTAAATTTATCTTAATAAAAAAACTATGCTATAACTTTATTTAATGAAAAAGACTTACTTTTTAGTGAAAAACTCTTAAATTATAATAAAAAGGACAAAAAAAACTTAAATCTTAATGAAAAAGACATAATTTTAATATTAAAAAAAAATTGACCCGCGGACCTGCCTGCCCTCCTCACACAAACGGTTAATGAAACTTACTACATTGTTTATGAAACTTAATGGTACTACATTGTTTATGAAACTTAACAGTACTACACTGTTTATGAAACTTAACGGTACGCCACTCTTTATGAAACTTAACGATAGTACACTATTTATGAAACTTAACGGTAGATGCACATCCTAGATTTTCAAGTTCTTTCACCATAATGCAAAAAAAGATTAAAAAAAAACATAATAGAGATCAACGTCCACACTGTTAAAGTCAGGCATGGCTAATAGCTCAATACCATTACTAGAAAAATGGATGATGAGTCCAACGATGTTGTCAATGATGTTGCCCCACCCCTACCCCCAACCATCCTAACCCACGTCTGATCAACTCCCTCCCAACCATACCACCCCAGATTTGGTTTTGAATTGAACGGGACCTACTTTAATTTGAAATTTTAATTTTAGAGTAATAAAACATGCTTGGATTATGTCAAAGGGTTATGCAATAGTAGGATTGGTTGGGTGCTCTTTGCACGCGCCTATAGTTAGGTTTTTTTTTTCCTTTCTTTCTCTTGTCCTTATGTTTAGGCCCAAAATAATAGTTTGGGCCGAGTAGAGAATCATTCTCGGCCCGGAAGGCCTTGCGGCATGGATCGTTCAGTACGTGGGCCCCCAAACCTAGGTCGGCTAGGTCAGGACGTAGGATAAGTCGTTTCCTGATGCAATAAGGAGTCTCGGCAGGATTAATAACCAGAGAGCGAATCCGGCTCAATAAAGGACTAGGTTCACAGTCATAATGAAAGTAGGATTGGTCGAGTCAGTGTTTGATTGGGAGAAGAAGTCCTAGTCCGAATGGGGTTTTAACTCGACCATGGGGGGAGCCATTGCTATAAATAGAAGAGGTTGTGCATCATTCGAGGTCCCCTGCAATTCAATACAAAACTGCCCTGCGCAAACTCTCTCAACAACTTGAGATTTTTTCCTTCTTTTTTCGCTAACACATCTTCCTTTGGCATCAACAGCACTGTGGAAGCAACCGGTGATATCTTAAGTCAGCATAGATAGCTCTGTCATCGTAGAATCAGTCGCTCTCGCAGTATCTTCCGTTGGCATCAACAGCACTGCGACGAGGACGGTTGGTTACCTATCCAAGTCTCGGTCAAGAAGGATTTCCAGATCCTTATTGATTGAGGTCATCTTATTAGCCTTCTTGGCGAAGTGAGGTGTTACAGTATATCGAGCTCGGCGCATTGCACGCCGAGTTATTTTATGATTGGATACTCCCAAGTGGGATTTAGAGTTCGGCATTCGGATGGCCGAACCACGTTCACTATTAAAACTTATATTTGTTTTGAGTATTTTTGCCCTTACACTTTGGTGTCGATTCGGCGAGAGTTTACTCTGACGAATAACATCACGGTGACTGAATCCGACAACGACGACTTGTGAACTTCGTAAGAATAGCAACCTTGTCTTCAGGTTCGAGAACCCAAGAGGCCGAGACGCGTTCCTTCCTCGGTCGCAGTCGCAAGACGTAGAAGTCAGCCGCGCACTCGACGCAACATCAACAAATTTTACTCCTCGGCCGAGCTCGGCCGACGAGTTGGCACGCCCCGCATTCACCAAAGGACGTAGTTAGCTTATAGATTACTCGGCCTGCGCGCCACGTAGGCTTGGTAGTTTTTAGGGTCAACACCTTATCATTAAATAAAGTTATATATAATGGTTTTTGGTTAAAACTCAGAATTTTGAAGCCCTTTTCATTAATTTTATTTTTTTAATTTTTTTTTGTTTTATAATTCTAAGTGATACATCTAATCCTCAAACTTGAATATCAAAGTAAAACGCATATTATAACCAACTTAACTAGCGAGCCTAGGACCATGCCTGAAGCCTGCAGGTACGGTTAACTTTGGTTTAATAAAAATGAAAATTTATTTTTCCAGATTAGATACGTGTAGACAGATCTAAAAATTCTTAGGTCTATCTAATATTCAAAATATAGACCACCGCCGCAAAGACAGAAAGAGATCTGGGTGGGAGTTTGGACGCAACGAAAGCAAGGAACAAGCTACCTCCCGAAACTTGACATGCCGTCCAACCCAAAACACGCATCATCGATCCATGCAGAAATATTAAGTTTGGAATAACCAAGATCGAATGTCTGCCTCCATGTTCATTTCCCACAAGGAAAAACTCTAACTCGTATTCTTCCTATATATAATCATTCTGCTATTTCCATATCTATATACAAAGCATTACACTGATCATTTTAATTAAGACACAAAGCAAGCTCTTAATTAAGTTGTTGTTATAAGTGCAGTTTGTATTAGTTGATCGTTGATATGGCAAATATCAGAGGATCAATGAGCGCTTTGGAAGAGAGATTACGGCCATCGACACCCACACGCATGCGCGAAAAGATTGTTCCTTCATCAGACTGGACGGAGGACTCCAATTGTCATTACCTTCTCGTTGATCTTCCAGGTACTGCAATATTACAGCATCTAATAGTTTTCTTAATGTTGTAAACCTGCTCAAATGCGCACTCTAGTAGTAGTTATTAGGTTTTAATTTGTTCGCACTTTCGACATCATCATTACTTTATGGTTTTGTCAAGTTCTAGGTGTCGGCAACACAACTTGATTCGGATGTCTAGGTGGACATTCCAGATCGAGGTGTGTCAGTAATTGGTATCAGAGCATTTCATTTCGCTAAGAACAAATGCATGTGTTCATGCTCTAATAATTGTATTCGAAGTGCATAAAATAGCCACTACTAACAAGTAGTCACGTTAGTCACATAATTATAGGAAATAACAGATATGCATTCACATAAATTTATGGTGCTTAATTATATCACCTTGTCTTAGATTTTAAAAAGGAGGAGGTGAGGGTTGAGGTGAATATCTCAGCCGGCCATATAACAATCGGAGGAGAAAGGCAAGTGAACGAAAGGATATCCCAGTATTTTGAGCAGATTTTCACCCTTCCGCAACACTCAGATGTCAATAAGATCATCGGAAAATTTGACGGTGAGATTCTATATGTCACCGTACCAAAGGTGGCAGCAGCGGTTGAAGAACAGAAGAAAGAACCTGAAATAGAGAATGAAAATGTCCTAGGCAGCACCGCTGCTGCCACGGAACCTCCTCAAGTAGAGAAGAATGAAACTGTGGAAGGCTTAAGAGTTAAGACCCAAAGATGAAGGAGAGCACTCACAGAAAGTCGATGGCACAAAGTATGGAGAGATTAAAAAATTATTAGGAAATGAACACATATTTTTTTCTCCAGAAAATATAAGGAAATGGGAGGACAAAGGTGGGAATATCGTAAGGAATGCAATGGAGATGTTGAGCAAAATCAAAGGGATAGTTGTAACTGCTGTGGTTGCATTTTCATTAGGGATGCTAGTTAATCGTAAGTTCTAATAAGCTGGAGAATGAGATGATTAAGGCTAATTATAATTGTTAATTAAGTTGCTTATACTTTCTCTATATCTCTTGTTTATAATCATAGCGAATGGTCGCTGATATTAAATGTACAGAGTAAGAACTTCAACGAATAAGATGTAAATTGGTTTACTATCTTCTTTTACTTTTGAGCTTTACGATCATATTTGTTCGGAATCCAAAAGTTTTGATTTCGCACCTGCTAAATGTAACCGGGCGTTTAATATAAGGGGCGGTGGTCAATGCCCTTTGTCGTGAAACTTTTATGAGCGTGACGGTCATACTTTCCGTAATGTTAATCCGCTTCTTCGATCGGTTTTATAGTTGGATGCAAAATATCCTTGTGGATCCAAGTAGGCAGACAGGCAAGGAATGCGGAGGCAGATTGTCTGCTCTCCCACTTCCCGTGC